TTAAGCTAAATTCAAAACAAAAGTTAATGTACTAGAAATGACTGGATTTATAAACTAGTCAATTGTCAATTGCGAGTATCGCTGATTAGAAGAAAAATATCTGAATTTGAAACCACACTCCCACGTGTTGTACTAAGAAAAAAAACTGGTCAATTACATCTTTATTCTTATATTACTTTTAGACATAAATTTACTTTTTGAACCCTACTCAAAATGGCTCGAGGGTTGCCGTGGTTGTTTTGATCTACTTTATAAATTCTCCGTTTACGATGAGAATCCAATTTTGTTGCACTTTTAATAATTGAAAAATAAATATGTTTGGGAAGTAAGAAAAACCACCCCTGAAGGGCGAATATAACTAACCAACCTTTTCAAAAGTTTTTAACTATTTACGAATTTTTTTAATGAAATTTAAGATATATATATATATATATATTTATGATTTACATTTAAATATTATTTTGGTCAATGTATTTTATATTTTGGTTTATTTTGGTCTCTACACCTTTAAAACATCTGTTTTGATCTTCGAATATAAGATACCAATTACTATATAAAGATTTAATCACTCACGTCACATTTATTGTACTAAAAAAGCCTTTGTTTGGTTTTGTCTCAGTGCTACTAATATCTATCTTGGCTTTCCAAACAAGATTTCAATAGATGGGAGTTAAAAGTATAATGTGAAAGATTTACTACACTTCTAATAACTATAAAACCAATTTAAAAATCTTTGTATTAATTWTTTTTTTTTTATTTTTATTTTTTTTTGCAACGTACCACTAATTTCTTAAATAAATAATTTATTTGCTTTCCAAAAAACAATTTTAAAAAAATAGAAATTCAACAAGTTGACCTTTTTGTTTCCTTATCATGGGGTGGGTATTATACCTTACAATAAAACAAAACAATTATTATTTTTATTTTAGAAAATGAAATAAAATTCCATAAAAAAGCAAAAGGCTTTTTAGAAAAATTCCCCTAAGAAAATTCCATCCATGAACTTCAGAAGAATAAGTGATTCTTTAAGAAAATGATTGAATAATGAATATTCATAAAGATATGAAATTCTTGTCAACTAGAAGAGGAATAAAGAGGAGAGATTGTAATTTCCAATTATTCCACCTCTTGTTTTGTTCAGGTTAAAGATCCTATATTGAAAAGATTAAGGAACTAATAAGGGTTTATACTATATAATTAGGTTATTTCTCTTATGATCCTCATGAATATAAAGAATTATGACGGTTTTGCTCGTACTACTATTTGGCTGGATAACGTTTGTTCTAACTCCCGACTATTGATACAATCTTTATTTACTTCAGTGATGTGTTGTCTCGTCCGTATCTTTTTGCTGTTTGTTTGTTTTAGTTAAATTATTGACTTTTTATTGGTATTTTTGCCGCCTTTTGGTGGTGTTCCTTTTGTGCTAATTAGATCTTCTTTTTTCCTTGAAATATACTTAACTTTTGTATAAAATTGAATCAAGTTTAATTAAGGAAAAGCCTAGAAAATTTTAGAACTTTGGTCCTCAAATAAGGCAATAGCAATTAATGCATGTGTCGCCTTCATGCATTTGCCTTGATTCCATGGGAATTGGGGGATGCTAGTGTGGGAATCCATTCAAATAATAAATTTTGGATTTTTAACCTTCTTAAAAAAAATTGAAATATAGGTTTTAAGTATTATTTTGCTCATGGTACGTTTCAAAATTTTTATTTTAAGATCCCTATACTTTAAACTTTTGTTCATTTTAGTTTACTTTCGAACCGTTTATTTTGGTCATTATACTTTTTAAAAGTGATTATCTTAGTTCCTTCATTTCTATTTTTATCTCATTTCATTTATGACACTTCATTCATTAAATTTCTTGAAATATAGCCATAAATTTGTATTAAATGAGTTCACTTATGTGTCAAAATTTTGTTAAGATATTGCAAAAAGAGATAAAATTGGTTGATTTTTAAAAGTACACCTACCAAAATGAATGTTTTGAAAGTATGGTAATTAAAATGAGCAAAAGTTGAAACTCCATGGGCCAAAATAAATCAAAGTCAAAAGTACATTAACTAAATCATATTTAAACATTAAATTTATGGCGTCTGAATTTACATGTATTTAGATTGTACAAAAGTATAGGTTATTATAAACGGTGGTTGTATAACATGTGTTTTAGTTTGGATTCTGATTTCTAAAAGTATGTATGGTAAAATGTATGTTTCATTAGCTCTAGTTTACATAGTTTACCTTTATATCGCTAGTGGAATTAGCAAATTTGTAAAAAAAATTTAGAAATTCGACTCTATCTATAAGTTGTACTAAAAAGAAAACATATAAACATGGTTAAACATTCACAGCATGTGAGGATGTCATTTACATTTTTTTTTTGGACATCTGTGAGTGTCTAGGGTAATTTACGCACACATCGACTCAACCATCTAATCCTACAATATTTGATATCGGAAAACACAAAGGAATTACTAATTCCTACGGTTGGTGACCCTAAACCCTAAGCCCTTTTACATAATTTTAACCATTAAATTATGCTCGAGTTTTAGAAGTAGCTTGACACACTAGGTTTGTGTACTCATAGATTATAGATTCCTCCTACCAATTAGTTTTAATAGTTTTGCTAGATTTTTGTACTATGAATAAGTATTTGTTTTTGGATAATTTTTTTTAAAGAAAAAGTGTTTTTAAATGAAACACTTGTTTTAAGCATTTTTAGAATATATATATATTTTGCCCCTGTGCCTCTATCTGATGGCGGCACATTCTAGTAACTTCATACTTTGCTAAATCAATTAAATATTTCATTTGACAAAATACTCTAAATACTTCAAATTAATTACTTTTGGTTACTTAAAAATATGTTTTTTTTTTTGTTAAAATCGTTTTAAAATTAATCTAATGGTCGCAACAAATTTACCTTAATCATATTGGGGCTTAAAACTACTTTTTAAGCATGAAGACCTAATTTACAAAATAGGTAAATTTGGTGTGATTTGAAATTATTATTATTAGCCAAAGCGAGCATAGTTCCGTGTGCGTCAAAAATAAGTAAAATAAAAAATTTCGATGTAGCAATACACTATATCAAGATTAAAAATTTTCACTATTTAATATAAGTAGTATTATGTACTCATCATCAAAATATATGTGTGTATGTATGTATATACATATATTATGCACTCAAACAAAATATATATATATATATAACATAATTTTTACTTTTTTTGTTTATTGTAGTTTATATTAGGTTTGCTTTTGAGTTTAACTTGGATTATACTTTTTTTTAAAGTTTTTGGAATATTTTACTATATTTGAAAATACATATTTATTTTAGGGTGTTTTTCCGTAAAATGTTTCAAGAAAATAACTATTAAAAGAAATTAGATTATGAGTTTAGTTGATGAACTTTTAACTTCGTGTCTAATATAAGTTTTGAATTTAAGAAAGTATTTAGTTAGATTTTGTGTCAATATATTCTAAACCTCCTAGTTTGAATGTAAATAGATTCCATGGTCTATTAAATCTTTTTAAAAATAATAAATCTATTAGACATAAAATTAAAATTTGTATCTAACAAGACTTTAAACTTTCAATTTTGTTATAATGTCAATGACTTATTAGATATAAAATTGAAAGTTTATAAATCTATTAAACACAAATTGAGACTAAACTTGTAATTTAATCTTAAAAAAAACAATAATTTTTTTATGTTAAGAAATACATCCCTGTATTTTTGTTAAAGTAAAGAATTAGTCCCTAAACTTTAGTTTGTAACACTATAGCCCATGTGGCCTGTGCTTTTAAATTCGTAACAATTTAATTCCTTGAACTTTAGTATATAATAACTTAGTCTCTATGGTTTAAATCTTTTAAACATTGAGTGTCAATTTAGTCTTTGAACTTTAGTTTGTAGTAATTTAGTCCCAGCACTTTTAAATTGGTAAAAATTTAGTTTTTGAATTTGTATGTAACAATTTAATCGATGTACTCTCAAATTGGTAACAATTTAGTCATTCAACTCTAGTATGTAACAATTGAGTTCCTATAGTTTAAAATTTGTAAACCCTTGAGTGTCTATTTAGTCTCTCTAGTATGTAACAATTGAGTCTCTATAGTTTAAAATTTGTAGCCCTTGAGGGTCTATTTAGTCTCTGAACTTAGCTTGAAATTATTTAGTTCAAGCAATTTAGTTTTAAACTTTAATATGTAACAATTTAGTCCTCGTACTTTTAAATTGACAATAATTTAGTCCTTGAACTTTAGTATATAATAATTTAGTCCCTGTACTTTCAAATTTGCAACAATTTAATCCTTTAACTTTAGTATGTAACAATTCGGTCCTCGTACTTTCAAATTAATAATAATCTAGTCATTGTGAACTTTACGTTGTAACAATTTAGTTCTATAGTTTAAAATATCATCAAAACTATAGTGCTTATTTTTTATTGTAAAACGAAGTCGTTATAATTTATAAACTCGTATAGTCTCTCATCTGTTTATTGATCTACCTATATAAGAAACTTAACAAAAAAAAATCAGGACAAGGACTAAATCGTTACAAATTGAAACTACATCGACTAAATTATTACCAATTTGAGAGTAGATGACATTACAAATTAAAGTTTATGGATTAAACCGTTATTCTATGACTAAAACTATTTTTTTTACTTTTTATTTATTTATTTTTATTTGAAACATAATTTCCAAACAAGTTGGAGACATTCTCAAAAAAAACCTTTCGAGGGTCCGGTCCAAAAGTGGATAATTTAATTAAATACACTTTCCCCACGACTATTTTTTTTTTTTTTGAAAAAGAATATTTTAAAACAATATTTAAATTACATTAATAAAAAAATAAATCTAAAGCTTAAGAAGAAGGTGGCGTGGCAATATAAAAAATTCAAACCCACCGTCCAGAGAACGTTCCATTTCACGGGTGCCCGTATCTATAAAACCAAATTCTTCCGCCATTGTTAACCTGCAACTCTCTTCCAAGCTTTTTTGTTCAAGAGAATCAAGTAAATTAAAAGCTCCCCTTTTTCCTTTTCGATCCTCAAGAATCTGTAATTACAAAAAAAAAAAAACCCATTATTCCATTTTCCCTCTCTATATAATTCTTGCTGTGTTCTTCTTCTTCACATCCCACCGCGAAGGAAAAAAATCAACCCATTTTTTTATTAAGTCCTTGGGTTGTTTCTTCTTTTCTTCTGGCAAATGGCTCCCAGCTTGAGAAATGGCGGCCGCAACGACGCCGTTTCGTTTGATGGCTTCAACGACATGTTGTCTCCGTTCTCGCTCGACGGGTCGGATCTCACCGTGAACGGCCATTTGATCCTCTCCGACGTGCCGGAGAATATCGTCGCCACTTCTTCTCCATACACTTCCATCGATAAGTCTCCAGTTTCCGTCGGATGCTTTGTTGGATTCGACGCGTCGGAGCCCGACAGCCGACATGTCGTTTCCGTAGGGAAACTGAAGGAAATCCGGTTCATGAGTATTTTCCGGTTCAAGGTGTGGTGGACCACCCATTGGGTTGGCCGGAACGGCGGCGACCTGGAATCGGAGACCCAGATTGTGATTCTTGAGAAGTCGGATTCCGGGCGGCCGTACGTTCTGCTTCTCCCTCTCGTCGAGGGGTCGTTCCGGTCGTCGATTCAGCCCGGCGACGACGATTTCGTTGACGTGTGCGTCGAGAGCGGCTCCACGAAAGTCGCCGAAGCGTCGTTTCGGAGCGTGCTGTACCTCCACGCCGGCGATGATCCGTTTGCACTGGTGAAGGAGGCGATGAAGATCGTGAGGACCCATCTCGGAACTTTCCGGCTACTGGAGGAGAAGACGCCGCCAGGTATTCTAAAATTACAATTCTAATTCAAAAACTTACTTTTATTTTATTTTTCTAGCATTAAAATTGCAGTAATTGACGTATATTACTAAGATGTTAAATAATTCTTTAACGTTTTTAACTCCACCCGATTCTTAAATAATAGTAACTTTAAGTGTCGTTTTATATTTTGTTTTATATGTTTTTCAAGTTTCTGATTTAAAAATTTATGCTGGTTTTGTATACTTTATTTGATAATTTTTCAAATATAGTTCATGTATATATAATTTTAGCCAAAACTTTGAAAAATAAAAACAAACTTATGAATTTTTTTTTTCTTTTAAGTTTGCTTAGATTTTAAAATTGTTTATAAAACCTATGTAACAAAACAAAGAATATAGAGGCGAAATTAATATTTTTAAACTTAATTTTTAAAATCAGTAAACAAAAGAATTATCAAAGGAGATCTTGATAATCCATATTTATTCGTTAAGTGAGTAGAGACATGCCAACAAAAAAACACCACGTCAAAAACTTAGAAAATTCAAAATTTTTATAGAAATTTTAGGTCGAACGAGAGGACAAATGTCGTCATCTGGCTCCTTACTTTTTGGAGAACAGTAGATTCAAAAAATCGTACGTTCATATATTGGTTGTTGTGTAACAGGCATCGTGGACAAATTTGGTTGGTGCACGTGGGATGCATTTTACCTCACAGTTCACCCGCAGGGGATCATAGAGGGCGTGAAGCATCTGGTGGACGGCGGTTGCCCCCCCGGTTTGGTTCTAATCGACGACGGCTGGCAGTCCATCGGCCACGATGCGGACCCAATCACCAAAGAAGGAATGAACCAAACCGTCGCCGGCGAGCAAATGCCCTGCCGGCTCTTGAAATTCCAAGAGAACTACAAGTTCCGGGACTACGTGAACCCCAAGAAGTCCGGCGCCGGCGCCGGCGCCGGCAACAAGGGGATGAAGGCGTTCATTGACGAGCTGAAGGGGGAGTTTGAGACGGTGGAATATGTGTACGTGTGGCACGCTCTGTGCGGGTACTGGGGAGGGCTACGGCCGCACGTGCCGGGCTTGCCGGAGGCACGTGTGATCAAGCCGCTCCTCTCGCCGGGCCTGCAGAAGACCATGGAGGATCTCGCCGTCGATAAGATCGTTTACCACGGCGTCGGGATGGTCCCGCCGGAGTTGGTTGATGAGATGTATGAAGGCCTGCACGCCCATTTGCAGGCCGTCGGAATTGACGGTGTTAAGGTCGACGTTATCCACGTAAGATCCTTTACTTTCCTTAACTACATGTTCGTATTAGTTCAAAATATTAACAAACAAATAAGAATAAGGGCAAAGTGCAGGGGTATTTTTGTAACTGTACTTTTCTTTTCGGAATATAGAATTTTTATATATGGTAATTTTTTTTCGCAAGTTGTTTATTTAATATCTATTTTCAAAATTTATTAAATATTGTATTGTTTTAAGAACAAATTTAGTTTTGTTTTCTAAAATATACTTGTTTAAAAGATTTGAGTTCACGACTTTTTAGTCAAGATAGGTTCCTTAACCAATTAATATGTCCAGATTAACTTAAAATATACTCGTTGATAAAGTATTTTAGTTAAAATACTATTGAAAATTTTTAACTTTAACTTTTAATTTGAATGAACAGTTATTAGAGATGTTATGTGAAGACTATGGTGGAAGAGTCGATCTAGCGAAGGCGTATTTCAAAGCAATGACGAAGTCAGTAAGAAAGCATTTCAATGGAAATGGAGTTATTGCTAGTATGGAACACTGCAATGACTTCATGTTCCTTGGCACAGAAACAATCTCTCTTGGTCGTGTTGGTATGCAACCTCTCTTGTCTTGATCCTTTAGTACATAGCTTTATAGGTCTATTAAAATTATTAATAATTCAAATTATTAAAATTATCAATAATTCAAATTTTTATAAATCATACTATATATATGTATATATATGTATATTTTTTGAAGCACATGCTAACATATATATATAGAAAGGAAAATTGGAGAAAGGTTTTCTGTTTTAATTATTAACATCAAATTATCCATAATTCCAAATTTGGGTAAGGTGGGGCCGACAGACCCCTGGCAGTACACGTCACCAAAATCTGAACTAATAAAAACGTATTTTTTTTCTTCTGAATTTTCTTAATTTGCAAACGGGTCCCTTTTTAGTATCTCACTGGCGATCATGACGTGTTATTCCAAGCATCCAATTAACAATTGCCACTTTTCATTTGATAGGTGACGACTTTTGGTGCACTGATCCATCTGGAGATCCAAACGGTACATTTTGGCTGCAGGGATGCCACATGGTGCACTGCGCATACAACAGTCTGTGGATGGGCAACTTCATCCATCCTGATTGGGATATGTTCCAGTCCACTCACCCTTGCGCCGCCTTCCATGCTGCCTCTCGCGCCATCTCCGGTGGTCCTATCTATGTCAGTGACTCTGTCGGAAAACACAACTTCGAACTCCTTAAAACTTTGGTGCTTCCAGATGGCTCGATCCTTCGATGTCAGTATTATGCCCTCCCGACTCGTGACTGCCTCTTCGAAGATCCCCTGCATGACGGTAAAACCATGCTCAAGATATGGAATATCAACAAGGTAAGCGTCCTATTACAGTTTCATAATTATTTGTAATAAATATATTGACGGCTCAAAGAACCACTAGACCCTATTATTAAAATAACTTAGTATACCTATCAAATAACACAAATATAATTGTTCTTTGTAGTTCACTGGAGTTATTGGAGCATTCAACTGTCAAGGAGGAGGATGGTCACGCGAGATACGACGCAACCAATGCTTCTCTCAATACTCAAAGCGAGTTACCTCCAAAACCAATGTAAAAGACATTGAGTGGAATAGTGGCGAAAATCCTATCTCCATTGAAGGTGTGAAGACCTTCGCATTCTACCACTACCAATCTAAGAAGCTCACCCTCTCCAGGCCCTCACAAAACATCGACATCGCCCTCGATCCGTTTGACTTTGAGCTCATCACCGTCTCGCCAGTCACCACACTCATTGAAACCTCTGTTCAGTTCGCCCCAATTGGCCTTGTTAACATGCTCAACACAGGTGGTGCAATACAGTCTGTTGATTATGATGACGACCTAAGTTCTGTTGAAATCAGCGTTAAAGGCACAGGTGAGATGCGGGTGTTTGCGTCAGACAAACCGAGGGTCTGTCGTATTGACGGTGAGGATGTCGGGTTCAAGTATCAAGATCAAATGGTGGTGGTCCAAGTGCCATGGCCAGGATCTTCTGGCATTTCCGCTATCGAGTACTTATTTTAATTTATGTAAAGTTTGATTATTATTATTATTATTATTAATATATTTCTCTCCAAAAGGAAAATGCATGTAATTTGGAGAGTAAGCGAGTGGATTTTCTAATAAGAGTACTACTTTTTTATGATTTATTAATCTAATGTTTTCTGACCTTTTATTTTCCTGATATCAAAAAGCATTCTTTAAATGCTCTGAGATTTTTTTTTTTAATTTTGGGCTGTTAGTTTATGTTGATCAATTATCATATAAAATTAAATATACTAAATTTACCATTATTTAAAGTTAATAAATGAGTAATAAGTTATTATAAAAATGTTATATTTACAATGATTTCTAAAATATATCTTTTGATATTGATACATATATGTAAATATTTACAAAATTTTGGGCTTATTGGACCTTATTCTGAAGTGATATTTTCATTTTTGTCTCGTATTTTTCGGGTTTGAGATTTCTAATAATATTAAACTTACCATTTTGTCTCCTATATCCAAAAAAGGAAAAACATGGATGGAAAATTGAAATTCTGATATTGAATATGGAAAAAACTTTCTATATATAATTGTTGTATTTACTACTTTCTTCTAATGTTTTTTTCATGTTTTCCATATTTGTTTCCTAACAATTGAAAAACAAGAAAAAGCACACTCTCCTCCCATATTTGTCGGGACACTCATCAAATTTAATTCGCAACAAAAGAAGTAGTTCATATATATTTATTAAGATTGTATCAATCTTGGTCGAGTCTTTTTTTTTTGAACTGGATGCTCGTTCAAGTTTGTTGGACTCTGATACAATTCTAATATTTATAGAGTTTCATCTCAAAATCAATTGGCAACGAAAGGAGAAAATTTTTTGGGTATATGTTTTTAGAAATATGCACCGGGTACTATTTTCACCATTGAATCTGAGGTGCATAATGCGTACTAGGTATATATGAATATATATATGGTATACATTAAACAAATGTTGTCGTTTTTTTGAAAAATTTTAGGATGACAATACAAATGAGGAAACAACACGAGTACCTGTTTATGATATTGCCAGAGTCGAATATCAATGATGACTGAATTTTTTAATTGATTTGTTTGAAGAAATAGGACGTAGGTCAGTTCCTCGCAATATATATACTCACGATGAAATGCCTTTAAAAAACGAAGCAAACGTTAAGACACAACTCGTCAAATAAGACGCGAAGAATATAAATGAAATGCACGTGAAGGAGGAATAAATCATCGGAATACATATTGTTTAGTAGGTTGAAATGGTAGAAGTAGTAACACGTGTTGTAATAGTAAATATAAGTACTTGGTATATTTATCAAAATAAATAAACAGCATAATATTATACGAAAAATAAATACTATGTATATTTGTAAATAAACAAATAAACATTGGTAAGAAAAATAAAGGAGGTGTACATTGTTGAATAACATTAAATGAACTAATAGTGGTTTGAACAATAAATAAAACGATATATTTAATAGTCTTATGTAACGCTCTAGGTCTAGGATGTGGATCAAGAATCGGAATCGGATTAGACACCTAATTGTCCCGCCATCTTCTGCAACATGGTTGCGCCATCGTCTTTATCTGAACTACGTAAAAAAGCGAAGACTATTCTTACAGACTAACACTCACAAACTGAAAATTACTCAAAGTCAAGTACGTTTAACTTTAGAATTTTCATGATCGAGCCATCGAAAAAGAAGGTATACCTTATTAGTATAGGTAGTGACTATCAATTTTTTAAGTCTTTCTTAATTATGCTTCTACGATCTCTCTCATTCAGATGTGGTACTAGTTTCATGTATCAATTCTCTCTAATTTGACATCATGTTGAGGGTAAAACTCGAGCAGGTCGCGTATCCGCTTCTCAGCGAATGCGGGACAACGTATGATCACTTTCCATAAGCCGGTATCGCCGAGCAGGACACACGTCCTCCTGCGATGGAATGATGGACCACAGACGGTTATGCCCCGTACATAACTGCCGCAGGAGGCGTGCGTTGTCGGTATTATTGGCGCACCCTACAGCTATAGGGGACGAGTCCCAGAGCCACAGGTGGTGTTACCACCCCATGGCTGTCGAGAGCATGTTCCCCGATGCTCTCCGGACGACACGTCGTGTCGTTGCCACCTCTAACAGTCGTCCTTTCTGGTTGGCCACCCGAGACTTAAAAGGAAGGACTCTCATCTCACCAAGTAAGTAAAAAACCTGTCACTTATACTTGTGTCTTATTCCTATCTCTTTTTCGATGACTAACTTGATTGTCATAGTGTTTTAAACAGAACACCGTACTAACGTCGAGTAATTTCAATTTCAAGTTCACTCATTCCCTGATCGGACTGTTCGTTCGAGTGATACGTGGCCTACGACCGTAATTCGTCGCCAAGACATCACATGTCCACCATCTTCTACGTCCAACAAACTTTTAACGAGTAGTGTAAGTATTAAAAATGTTACGCAACTACATAACTTTGGATGAAGACAAAAACCATAGGATTCACTATATTTAAACATGAAGAAATTCAACATGCTTAATGCTTGTACGAAGATATGATCTGGTACATTTACATTTTATTAGAAATGAATTATGAAAAAACAAGCAACGAAGATATATTTTTCTTACCCATTTTATTATGTTAGAAGAATATAAGAATGGTTAGTGCGATTTTTTCTGCCTTTTTTTTCAGATTTTCTATTTGATTTATTAAACATTTAAAAATTGGTAAATAAAAAAAAATATTTTTATTACACGTTTGATTTATTAAACTTTTAGTTGTTTTTTTTATATTAAATAAAAATATCAATAGATGTACAACACATGTCTTGATTAGAAATTACATCAAAATTAAACTAAACATAAATTTAGTCTTTCTATAATAAATACCTTTTAAAAATATATCCTATCGATAAGAAATGTCCCAATTAATTACCTTAAGATTAGTCTACTAAAAATAAAAAATAAAATTAGCATAATAAAAAAGATAATTTAGAAAGAAAATAATTTCAATTTCAATTAAACCAGAAGTCTAGATCCAAAAATTTTCACAAATGTGGATATTTGTGAAATATCCACGTGAAAAAAACTACAATTTCTGCACAATTAACGAGTAACGGGACAGCTTGCTCAGATTTTGGGCCTGGCCCATGTTTACGGCCCATTTAATCGCAAATAGCAGGCGCCAGGATGGGGCGAATATACAATTAGCAAAATTATATGGGAGGAAAATATAATTTTGTTAATCTTCATTTCCCATTTCGTGATTTTCGTAATTCTATTTGGTGTGGTACCATCGTCGTCTTCTCTCTCTCTCTGTCTCTCTCCCCTCTCGGTCTAGAATCCTGTTTGCTGTTCACAACTCCGAAGGCGCCATCCGAACTCAGGGTTGCAGAAACCCTCACGTTTCTCTCCCTGGACCTCCGCCGAATCGTCACCGCCGGCCGTTTCATCGTAAGCTTCTCTCCTTTGCCTCCTTTCGAGTCCGGACGATCTTGTGTTTTCCGTCGGCTCTATTCCGCTTCAAATGCCCTTCGTTTTCTCACCTTAGCTTTGTTCTCCGCTAATTCTTGGGGGCGAATTTCCATGTCTGACTAATTGAAGCGTTTGGAGGCGATCTCTTGATCAATTCTTCCACGAATATTCGGTAACTCCTTCGTTTGTCGTTTCTTTACTGTTTTTGTGTTTCCTAGTTTCGGGGACTTCGTTTTTGTTACGCCTGGAAAATTTTGAACTGTTGTGTTTTTGGCTTCATTAGTTCGCCGGTGAACTGATGGATTTTTGGGATTTTCGGGCTGAATTCGATGCTGGGTAATTTGAACTATGCTGTTCAGCTGTTAACTAGTGTGCTTCGTATTTCATTAGGGAACGGATAATTGATGAATGCGGCTAGATTGATTTCTTTTGTATTTGGTGCGATGGTTTTTAGTCTATTGCTCTATTTGTTGTTCCCGTCGTTTAAGCCTAATTGATTTTTTTTTTTTTTTTTTGTCTTTCTTTGTTCCATTAGGTTACAATAACTCCATAGTGATTCGTGTCCTGGACAGCAATACGTGATCGTTCTGGTTATTGCTGGGAGTCAAATGGAACTGAAAGTTTCATATCCTAAGCCTGGCATTTCTTCCTCTGATTATGTTAGTGATCCTGAGGAAAAGGATATTAGTGATGACGAAGATGATGATCGCAACCATAAGCATCGGAGGCGGGAGACACGCTCTCAATCTTTGGAAAGAGACACTCGTGAACATGTCTTGAGGCCATATGGAAAGCGTAATAAACCTTTTGAAAATGGACGTAGTTTTAGGGAAAATGAATCTCAAGCAAGTGAAGCTTGGAAATCGTTTAATACTCCCAATTTCGAGAAAGACATCCCTGGGAAGTTTGATAAAAGACGCTTGGGTGCAGTGCCAGGTCCTCGTTTGACTGGGGATTTCAATCAAAGGATAAGGGCAAACCAGACATTTTCTGGTGACCTAAGTGCTGGTAGGGGAAGAGGAAGGGAGCCTGGCACTTGGAACCAGTTTGATTCAAGGTTTAGTCCTGTTGATATTGCTTCCCAAATTGTTCACCATGGGTCTTTTCCTCCTAGTCTATTTGCCGGACGGGGTTTACCAAATGTTTCTACTGCACAAACTGCACCATGGAATGCATTTGGATTACTACCAGGAATGCCGAATAACGGGCTTGAAACGATCCACTCCATTGGTTTGCAGGGAACACTTAGGCCTCCAATCAATCCTCCTCTAAATATAGGAATACCTCGCCAAAGATGTAGAGATTTTGAGGAACGTGGATTCTGTCTTAGAGGTGACATGTGTCCAATGGAGCATGGTATTAATCGCATCGTAGTTGAAGATGTCCAGGTATGTCTGTTGCACACTGTACTGTATTTGACTGTGCTTGACACATGATTAAAAGAAACGAGTAATTTGTTTGGCCACTCGTATAAACACCATCCGTGTTATATTACATCTTTTAAGTATAATTTTTAACATCTTGATTATATACTTTCATTTTTTTTCCTTAAATTATATAAAACATAAATTAAGGAGGTTCTGGCTATATCTCTCCAAGGTATCGCCAATTATTGGAAGAATTGGTTATGGTGTTCTTAGATTTCAAGGTTGCTTCTTATTTATCTTTTTTTTTTAAAAAACTTCAAAAATTACATAAGAAAATTTGTTAAAACTAACCAAATATTATGTTAGATCTAGAAATTGCTTGATAGCAAATGGAAAATATAAGAAATATAATTTCCTTTCCATTTACATTTATTTTTCAGTAGAACCTTATTGTAGATCGTGCATTATAAATAATCTTACCGGTCAGCTTTTGGGTTGTTTCTGGCCTATGTTTTACCTGAAAATAATTTTCTCTCTGCTTTTGGATGTATAATTGTATATCTAGTTCTAATGAATTTTATGTCTTTCATTTGCAGAGTCTTTCTCAATTTAACCTTCCTCTGTCACTTCCAAATGCACACCTAATGGGGAAAGCTACTGGATCTTTGCCAGCAGTTAGCACATCGTCCACGTCAGTAATGAGTGGCAAAGGATTGCTTGGAAAAAATAGCAAGCCTGGTGTAGGAGATGATTCATTGGGCTTTGGTGCATATTCAGGTTCTGGTTGTGCAGCTGAGGCTGACTTGTATGATCCTGACCAACCTCTATGGAACAACAATTGTCCTGAGAAATCAAATGCACTCTCAGCAATGCATTCATCAAAGATCGATGAAGTTGAATCCTTGATGGGTGATGATCCTTCTGATCGGAATCAGGTTAGGAAATGTGATGCTGCTGATAACGGATGCACAAGTAGAACAACTGCAGCTAGTGGTTCACAGGTTACTAGTTCGTCTATCTGGGGTAGAGTTGGGTCAAGAAATAGACAGGATGCAAAAGGGAAAGTTGATCCAGTTGTAAGTTCCTCTGGTTGTCTTGAAAATGAAGTGAAGGAACACAATGAGGTACTAACTAGTGTTCAAGGAAATTCCCATCAACAAAAGCACATGGTTCAGGATGATGCTCACACTAAAGCACAGAGTGATACCATGCGTACAATGCGGAAGCCATCTCAAAAAGCAACGCGTACTCTATTTGTCAATGGTATTCCGCAACAGAGCAACAAAACAGAGACCCTTCTTTCTCATTTTAAAAAATATGGGGAAGTCATTGACATTTATATTCCAGCCAATAGTCAACGGGCTTTCGTTCAGTTCTCAAAAAGGGAAGAGGCAGAAGCAGCTCTGAAGTCACCTGATGCTGTTATGGGCAATCGTTTTATCAAGCTATGGTGGGCTAATCGTGACAGCATTCCAGATGATGGTGTAGGCAGTAATAATGGTATTCATGTACCTCCACGGCATATTGCAGCTGCTTCACTTCCGTCTCTTGCTATCAAAGGAAAGAACACTGGCCAGGTTCCCACTTCAAAGGTCAGCATTCCCCATTCATTGGATTCTTCTTTAGCTGCCGTGGATCACTCTCATGCTTTCAATAGCCCCAAGGTTTCTTCTCCTTTGCAAAAGAAACTAGAGAATTTGGAACAGTTAAAGGAGGAACTCCGAAAGAAGCAAGAAATGCTAGCCATGAAACGGAATGACTTTAGGCGACAGTTAGACAAACTTGAAAAACAGGTGAAGTTCTAGCCCTTTATAAGTTTCAGTTCTCGTACATGTTTGACCTGAAGACTATTTTTATTAAGACATGGCCATGGCCTCTACTCTTGGAGGAATAAGAGAAGGTTAAAATGAAAACCCACTCCAGCCAGGAAATTAGAATTTAGAGCCTTCATATCATGTCATCTCTATTTAATTACCCCTCAATTCTTGGCTTTAACCTCCATGTACTGATACCTTGTTGTAAAAGTGCAATACTAGTCTCATGTGTTACTACTGCAAGCCAATCTACCGTTTCTTTTATTTTCTCATCTTGTTCTCAATTACAGACCACAGGAAACAAAGCTGAAGCAGTCATTGGGTTCTCTGCAAAGCGGCTTAAAGTGGGAGTAGAAGCTGATGTTACTAAACTTGTTACTCCAAAGGCCAGCGATTCTGGTATTGCTTCAGCATCACCACATACTGAGGTTAATGGGGAGAATGTTGAGTGCCCTTACCCTGAGCCAACTACATCTACCGCACAACAGGAATCCTCAAAGTTTGGGCTTGTTCATCCATTGGCATCTAAATCAGCTTTTGACATTGATACAAAGAAATTGGACAGCTGTGCTACTGGATTTAGAATTGTTCCTCCTTTACCAGCTGAATTTACCAATGTATGTCCTACTATCCCTCTATATCAAGACCATTTCATTACAGTTTAATTGGCACAATTTCTGGAATCTATGATGATGCTATAGATATTGTCTTTTGAATGTTGTGTTGGGTAGCTTAACAACTTGAGGTATCTACCGTTGTCTCTAGATTTGGTCAGAGGACAGTATTATCTGTAAATTGGTTTGCCTTTTAAGGATGTTACGAAAGGTGAGATCCCTGAGTTGCAGCAGAGGACTATCCAGATAAATTAATAAATAATAAGGAATGTGATTGATATTCATTTTTTATTTCAAGTAGTTAGTTGTAGTTCAACGGAAAATTATGTAAAGCTTGGATGCTCTTTTTATTCGTTTGTCCAATGTGATCAAATAGGTGAAATCCTGCCCCTCTTCCCAAGAACTTTCAGCACCCTTAAAACCCCCCTTCTTTCCAACCATACATCACTGGGTAATTTAGGTTGTTCTTGGAAATATAACGGAATATTAAGATTGTGGGGGCGAAGGAGACATTTCCATGATTATTGGAAAAATGAGAATCACAATTTACAAGTGTAGGCTGAGTTGTCCAGATTCCAGTTCATTCTATTAGATGACTAGTTTGACCTATGAGTTGTCCAAATTAAGCACCGACGAAGAGTTAAAATAAGAAAGACAATTCTCATAGACTGAATTGAACTCCTCTCCATGCAAGGAACATCATTAACAAGGAAAAAGGATAATGGAAAGAAGCCAACCTCAAACTAGAAAATGCCAAATAGCTCTAAAGTGAACCAAAAATTGAACAAGTGGCAGAAAAGAAAATTTCCAAACCAAGAAACCAACTGCAGAAGGGCCAGGGGAGAATCTTGAATGACCTTGAAGCCAAAACCTCTTAAAAACCAACAACCATCATCCAAGTCTCATTTCCAGCACAGTTTCTTCAACTCCAACTGTCATTGAGTGAGGTGGTTTCAGAACTAGGTAGTTGATGAACTCTATGGATAGCCATTTCCAAACAAATGCACAAGACCTCCCTACTTCTACTGGAATCAGATTTTGTTGTCATCACACGTTTTTAAAGATCAGAAATTCAACTTTCTCTGTGCATTTACCATAAGTATCCAAGGACTACTGATTTGTATCTTGATGGTGGCAAGTGAGCCACAAAGGCCAAATTCCTCACCCCAAATTGCCAACTTCTTACCTTGCTAGTTGTTTGCCAAGATCCACTCTCTCTATTTTATTTTTTCTTTTAAAATATTTTGTGATTGTGGATGATTGCTTTTAGTAGGCTGCTTTTAAGGGAGTTCGGATTTTGAGTTTATCAAAGGAATTTCAAGTTTCTCTTCTTTTCTTCCTCCTAAAGAGAGCAACAAGAATTGTAGACGTGTAACTTGATTAGGGTTAGTTTTCAAAATAAAGAAAAACATTATTTTGAATGCAGAAAGTTTGTTTGTAAGAATAATTATGAAAAACAGTTTTCAAAACAAAACATATAAAAATGGATCATAGTCTCTCATCTTCCCTTCCTTACTCTCTCCCCCTTGAATCCCCTGTCGACCTCCCATGGGCTATGACTACATCGAACATATTATCAGTGTTTTCGAGGCGCAAGGTGCACCGCAAGGCGACGAGTCCTTTGATCGCCTTGAGGCGAGAGGCGATACAAAGGCGACACTCGATTGAAGCGAGGCGCACCTTGATAAATAAGTAAAAATTATATATATAGTGCATAAATTACCTTAAAAAAATCAATACCAAAATAGTAAATGTCAACAAGATGCATAAAACAACCAAATTCTATAAGTTTAGTTCCAAATAAAGACAAGCAACATTAAGAAATTGTAGAGTCTGAAATAGAACAAACAGTAAATATAAGTAATCAAAACTCATCATCTTCATCTAAATCTAAATTCTCTTCATCTTGGACGTCCTCACAATCTTCCTTTTTCAATTCTTCTTCTTCTTCTTCGGTGTCATCATCATCATCACTAACCACAACTTGCACTGATTTTCGAACTCTTGAAGTTGTAGGAGCGGGAGTAGCAGGCGACTTTCCTTTAGATCTTG